ATACAGACAACACATGTACATGCTAAAGGTGTGTACATAACACAACACATGTACATGCTACAGGTGTGTACATAACACAACACATGTACATGCTAAAGGTGTGTACATAACACAACACATGTACATGCTAAAGGTGTGTACATAACACAACACATGTACATGCTAAAGGTGTGTACATAACACAACACATGTACATGCTAAAGGTGTGTACATAACACAACACATGTACATGCTACAGGTGTGTGCATAACACACTACAATACAGGTTTGTAAAGCATCGAACGTACACACTACAGGCCTACATGTACACACTACAATACAAGTGTTTTTCTAACACATAAGATGTACACAATGCAATACAACTGTGTACATAACACTTCACATGACCCTACTATAATACAGGTGTATTCATAACACACCAGATGTACACACAATAATACTGTTATTTTCCTACACATCAGACATGTTTTCATGCTACGAACTACCTAGGCTACTTTAGTCTATTGGTCATCATCGTACCCCAACCCTCCCTTTCTCTGTGTTAAATGAGCGGTTACCGATTAAGTTGTGTGACGATCTATGCAGTGGGATTTTATCGTTGGCCAAGTACCCAAACAAATTATTTTATAAAATGACACACTGCTTATTAAATGAAGCTATATAAGATCATTACCAAAGGTTTCTTGATATTTGTCTGCTTTACAAGGGTAAAGATGGAATTTAACTCCTAAATATAACTCAAATAACTCAAACAATAATATACTTGATATTTTACAACTATCAACAGATTTATTTATTTTTTTAAATTATTAAAGTCCATCAGGATTTAAATCCGAATGGAGGCGAGCGAGTTGACGAAAATCCTTCCATCGTGTTGTTGACATGGAATAAAAACCTGCTTTTTTAGATTTAACAAACAAAGCGACAGTAAAAATAATAAAAAATAAAAACTTAAGCCTAAAATTAATTCAGAAATTTAATATTTTTAGAATCAATGCTATAAAAGTTGCAAATCTTACAAAAACTTTGCAGATCAAGTTTTTAAATAACAATGCAAATTTAAACTACATGACCTAGTTTTATTTTTATTTTTCGCTTACAATGTATACAATAAAATTTATGGCAGCCTATCGAATAGCAGGATGCCATTAGTTATGTCGCCATTTACACGTGAAAAGCAAGTTGTTTTTGCTTTTTTTTATTTATTTATTTAGTTACCGAAAATATTAAAAACATCAAATACATCAAATATTTAGTTAAGTCCGAAAAAAACCTGACAGGCAGGATTTTATAACTATATTAATTGTAACTACGCCGTGCATGATTTTTAAATTAATTTATGGACCTCTCAAATACTTTCTCGCTCACATCTATTTTGTGCTTGCTCTACGCCTTTGTAAATCTTCACTCTACATCATCTGGTGATAGTTGGAATCGAAAGTTAAATCAAAACCTTGGGAAAATTTAGATGACAAAGGGAAACCATCAGGAAGTGACGTCACCACCTAGACGCTTCATTAGCTCTAGTTAAGTGAAGGGAAAATTCTTTGGGTAGGAAATCAAGATGAATGAACTTTGTCGCATCCTCCTACCCCGATCCAGGGGCGGAACTACCATACCGCCAGACCCCGCAATGCGGGGGGCCCAGGCCGTTTAGGGGCCCAAAATCCAACCAAAAAGCAATGAATTGAACATAAAAGTATTATGTATTTTTTAAAACAATGTGTTTTTCAAAAACTAGATTAGGCCCGAAATGAGTATCCTACGTTCGTATTTTGTGTTTATATATATATATATATATATATATATATATATATATATACATATATATATATATATATATATATATATATGGGGACTCAAAAAATATTTTGCGGGGTGGCCCTTTTTTTCTAGTTCCGCCACTGCCCCGATCCTAAGTCTTCTTTATGTTTCACTGATGACAAATTTTGCGGATGTTTTTTTTTTTTTAATAAAAAAAATTTTTTTTAGAGAAATATTTAAATAACTAATGTATAGTAACAAGTAAAGAATGTATGCTTCAATACATACAATTATTTTAAATGTTGACTAGATAACGGGGCTTTCGTGTTTTTCTTTTAAATAACGTAAACAAGCGTATTTAAACGTGAATATCTACGTTATGTCCTACATAACTTGTCAATATATAACATGCTATGCTACTTAACTGTACGGTACATACACCCCCCCCCCCAACCCCCCAACCCCAAACCCCCCACCCCCCGATCGAAATATAATTTATAGAGAAAATATGTACCTTTACTAGGGGCCGACCCCTCTCCTCGGAAAATTTAGTCCGACCCCGCGCAAATTTCAAATGCCCCCCCCCCTTTAAAAATTAGTCGAAAAGAAACACTGTACATATGTTCAACCTAATTGTACTGCATATAATATGTGTTGCCACACTTAATTTGTGCTTACTAGTGCTATCATACGCATCCCAAAAATTTAAACGTTTTTCCACCTCTAATCTAATCGTTGAACTTTGGCATTTCTTCACGCTTGTAAAACTATGTTTGAGGTCAAAGTTTGGAATCACACACTTAAAAAAAAACAACTAACTGTCAAAAAAAAATGTAGAATGCTCTGTCAAAAAAAAAAGTAGAATCATGATATTGCTGAACTTGGCGCTTTAGATACAGGGGTATGTAACTCCTCAAGGTCGCTCGAGGTTTAGTTCCAGGCTAACCCACATACGCCTTGCCCCCCCCCCCCCCCCGGGGTCAGTGCATGGCTATCAGCCAGCTACGGATCACAGACCTGTCTTATCAAATTCTCCCGTCACCCCGGACGTCAGGATGCCAGACTTTGACAGGTGCGACCAAACACCGGGCCTGGAATGATGGTACCTGCAGTAGGTGGCTAACACGTGACTCCCGTCGACGCCCTGATTGGTCCGTGATGTTGGCACAGTTTAAAAATGATAGGAGTTAGACGCTAAGGGCCTAATGTAGGGTTTCTATGGGGTCAGTGGATAGCCAGTGACCTTTTATAGTGAGCCAGTGACCTTTGATGGTTAGCCAGTGACCTTTCATAGTGAGCCAGTGACCTTTCATAGTGAACCAGTGACCTTTGATAGTGAACCAGTGACATTTGATAGTTAACCAGCGACCTTTCATAGTGAGCCAGTGACCTTTGATAGTGAACCAGTGACCTTTGATGGTTAGCCAGCGACCTTTTATAGTGAGCCAGTGACCTTTGAAGGTGAGCAGGTTGATGCACGAGCCACACCCCCACCATCTTCAGCAGCAGCGTCTACAGGGTATCACGTGATCACGTGATTATAATTACTGCCACCCGCTTAACTTTTAGCTGTCCTAGCATCGCACAATTCCAATATATTCCGGGTACCCGTTAAAGCTGAGTGAATTCAACCTGAACTACAATTAGCTTCAAACAAGATTCCCACTTAATCAGTGTTTCTTCCAGACTTTTCCAGACTTTTTTCTCCGGGGGGGGGGGGCGGTCAACTTTTTTCGGGGGGGGGGGGACACTAATAAAAGTGTATGTTTACTATATAAAATCCAGTTCGTTCGGGGGGAGGGGGGGGGGGCGTTAGACTTTCTTCGGGGGGGGGGGGGGGCACTGCCCCCCCCCCCCTTCGAAGAGATGCCTGGAAGAAACTCTGCCCTTAATTCTTTTAAATCAAAATTCTACAAAAACATATACATCTCCCATAGCCCCAATTGTTCATATAGTTCTACCTTTGTAATGTTCACAATTTAAACCAATCCTCGTATTCTATTACCTTTTTTTTTTAAAGAATGAAATTCGCAACTAAGCCTGGTTTTCTATAACCAGCTCTGTTTATTTCCGGTTATTCTTGTTTTTTAAGAAGGACGAATGTTTACAGTTCTAATTTAACCCATTAAGTGTCAAACATTTGGTGTTTTGATATATAATAAGGTGGCTCAGAAATATACATGGCGTCTGTTAAATAAACATTGAGTTTTATTTACCAACGTTAATGTTTTTATTAGTTTGGAATCTTTTTTTAAAAATATACGAATGAGCATTGTTATGTAACTAGTTTTAAAATCCTGCCAAATCTAAAATAAAATTTCCACGATCATTCTGTTGTATGCTCAATCTAAGTAAGACTAACAATTTTATGTTGCGCTCAATGCAAGATTTTAGCCAACATATGGCTTCAAAGGACCGAGGCTTCAATAGATCTATGGCTAGACTAAATCTGCCCTAACTTTACTAGCCTAGCAACCAAACAAGCAAAGTCACATGACAATGCACACCGGCCAATGTATTACATGGAGAGATTAAATGGATTACTGGATTAAAGTTAAAAGTTGGGAGCATTTACTTTGAAAGTACGACTGAGATAAACTCCGAGTCAAAAACTAGAAAAAAAAAATCTGAAGCAATCCTGCAACTTTTCTACAGAGTGACCTACATAGTTGTCGAACTTTGAGTCAGCACGGCCGCGGTTTGATGCACGAGTTATTCATCTTGTTTTTGTTTTGAGTGAGTAATATTGTGGATGAACAAATAAATGAAGATTAATCACGCGATTAAACAGGAAGTTAGGTGGAACCGGCATTAAAGAAGTGTTGGGATCAAACGCTGAAAGGGATAGTAAATTAACATCGTTGTGATTAACGTCATGCAATTAAAATTGTTTAATTGTTTTTCCACCTGTTGTTTCATGCTTAAATTAAACGGCTGGTCTACAAGATTCGCTAAGTTTTATTAAAGTGGAAAATGAACAAAAATGGTGATTTGGCAACTCATACACCCAATGTTTCTTTCAGACTTTTTTCTCCGGAGGTGCGGGATGGGGGGGGGGGGCACTTGCAACTTCGGGGGGGGGGGGGGGTTCCGTGCTTCCAGGTAGGGTGGGAGAGATGCCTGAAAGAAACACTGCATATACTAGAACAAATAAAACTGAGTTATTTCAGTTGAGAGGTTGAAAAAAAAACGGTATCACTCACCTGGAAGAGGTTGAAAAAAACGGTATAACTCACCTGGAAGAGGATGAAAAAAACAGCTTTGGCCAGGCTGATCTTTCTAGTGGCCAGCATGGCCACGGTGACCGCTGGGTTGATGTGACCTCCCGACACGTGGGCGATGGCCCAGACAATGGTCGCCACGCTCAGGCCGAAACACAGGGCGATCTGCACCACGGGGGAGGTCGTGTTCTTCTCCCCCTGCAGGTTGATGCACGAGCCGCACCCCACCATGGTCAGCAGGAGCGTCCCGAGGAACTCCGCCACGATCCCCTTCCAGAGGCGGAGACTGGAAATGTCTTCCATGCTGGTGGCGGGTTTCTTGACCTTAGCAGGCGCCGACATGGCCGGATCCCTGACGACAACCTCAAGCTCGGGCTCAATGTACTCGTCGATCTCCGCCAATCGCGGGCGTCTCTCGGCCGTCTCCGCGAGCTGTTCACGTGACGATGACGCGGCGTGGACGGAGCCGGTTGATGTGGCTGAGGACAGGGAGGAGGGTCTCTTAGCCACCTCAGGGGCGTCGCTGTTGGGGGAGGATGGCGAAATTAGGGCGGTGGTGGCTCTTCCTTTAGCAGACATGAAGAAAACTAGCGAGTGGGGAGGAGCGTGCTATCCTCCAAAAGTCACTCAAGGATAATGGCATGCGAAAGGTCGAAAAATTCGTGAATTTCTAATCACGTTACGAAATTTTCTTTATTTTTTTAATTTTTTTTTTCGAACAAAAAAGTCACTGGTAAAAAAAGTGCATTGTTTTTGAAAAAAAATATTTCTTCAATTCTATTTTTTTATAATTTATTGATATGTTTAGAATTCGAAAGCGTTCAGAGTATATAAGTAGAGTTATTGTTAACGTATCACAAAGCCCAGTTGGTTAAATTTTGTTAGAGAAGAAATGAGCAGCGTAGAAGCGAAGGGTGGGGTGGCTACAAGCGAAGCAGGGAATGGTACCTGAATGTGTCGGAATGCTGTGATGATCACGTGACACCTCTCAGAGTGGTTCCAGCGCTCAGAGAGGAGGGTTTTCAGCTGAAAAGAGAAAGAGGGGTAAAAATGTACAAAATGAAAAGATCAACAAAAGATAACAGAGTTGGTATAGACGGGCGTCACGTGATAGGTTTGTCAACTTCAACTTGACTGTGTGCGAGATAAGGTTGTATTGATAGCCGTTTGGTTAAAAAAAAATTTGATAAAAGGTGTCAAGTATAAGACATGTATAATATAATCAGCGAGAAATGTTCGTTGTTGAGACAAGCGCGTAGTTAATGTAGTGGGTCTATAGCTTGAGATTTATGTCACTTGTATTCCTATTAGATGTAATATAATATCTGGCTGTTTATACGAGATGTTTTTTTATTAGATTGATGCTATTTATTTTAATATTATATATATATATATATATATATATATATATATATATGTATATATATATATATATATATATATATATATATATATATATATATATATATATATATATATAAACAAAACAACAAAAAAAAAACAACGTTCAAATAATCTTGATTTCCTAATTAGTATAAGTCTTAAAGTTTTGCTGAATTAGGCATATCGATAGTCTAAAGTTGGTTTGATTGTGGCTCTAATTGGTCTAATGAAACTTGTTGGAACGAGTACAGAGACGGGTCAAAACACGGGTTAAATTAGAGTACATAGAAACGGGTCATGAACAAGGGTCATGAACCATTTATAAATACTGATCTAGAAGGGGTCATTGGGTCGTCCCGTGTAGGGGTCATTCGACGGTCTAGAGAAGGGGGTCTTTCGATGGTCTAGAGAAGGGGGTCATTCGATGGTCCAAAGAATGAGGTCATTCGATGGTCCAGAGAAGGGGGTCATTCGATGGTCTAGAGAAGAGGGTCATTCGGTCGTCCCGTGTAGGGGTCATTCGATGGTCCAAATAATGGGGTCATTCGATAGTCTAGAGAAGGGGGTCTTTCGATGGTCTAGAGAAGGGGGTCATTCGATGGTCCAAAGAATGAGGTCATTCGATGGTCCAGAGAAGGGGGTCATTCGATGGTCTAGAGAAGGGGGTCATTCGGTCGTCCCGTGTAGGGGTCATTCGATGGTCCAAAGAATGAGGCCATTCGATAGTCCAGAGAAGGGGTTCATTCGATGGTCTAGAGAAGGGGGTCATTCGGTCGTCCCGTGCAGAGATCATTCGAAGGTCTAGAGAAGGGGGTTATTCGATGGTCTAGAGAAGGGGGTCATTCGATGGTCTAGAGAAGGGGGTCATTCGATGGTCCAGAGAAGGGGGTCATTCGATGGTCTAGAGAAAGGGGTCATTCGGTCGTCCCGTGTATGGGCCATTCGATGGTCCAAAGAATGGGGTTACTCCATGGTCCAGAGAAGGGGATCATATCTAGCTGTCAAGACAAATATGCTAACAGCATTTTATTGACGATGGTTTATTCTAATTTTCCAACCATTCATCGATATATTCTAGAGGCGAAACGTTCGATAATGAAAGATTGGAAATCAATTACTTCAGGCATGATTAATTCATGAGCTGCGTGAACCCACCACCGTGTATGAAGCTGTCGTGGCTAGCTAAAGTACTTTTCTGTTGCTTGGCTCAATCTACTGAGGATTCGAACCCGAATCATTCCTTGTTAGTATATGCAATTTTAAGTCTATTATTTCGAGGTCCTCTAATTCGGCCCGCGTCGATCTTTTTTGTCCACGGAATAAATGTTTGTTAGAGATGGCTGAGAAACTATGCCCCGAAAATTCAAAACAATTTGAAAATGCAGCTTTGGGTGCAAATACCATTGCCCGCCGTGTTGCAGACATCAGTGAAAACATCGTGACTCAAATATTGAAAATGCAAGCAAGTTTGGCATTTTTTAAATTGTAATGGATCAGTTGCTGGACAGCTGTTCCACATCTCAACTGCTTATGTTCATTAGAGGTGTGGATGAAGACATAAACATAACACAAGAGCTGGCTTCCCTACATAGAATGTATGGCACTGTTACCGGAGAGAATATAGATAGTTCAAAGACATGTTAAAAGATAGAAACACAGAATCGCAAGATTTACCATATTTCACAGCAGTAAGGTGGTTAATTTAAGATAAATTTTTCTGAGCAGAGTATTTAAGTTAAGAAAGTTAAGTTGACTTCCTTGAAAGTAAAGGCAAGCCACAAGCTGATGTACTTACTGTCTGATGAGGAGTGAATATAGAAATTGGCCTCTGCTGCAAACATAACTAGTCATTTAAATTTTCTGAACCTAAAACTACAAGAGATGGAAATTTAGTTTCTGATCTGCACACCCACCTAAAGGCTTTCAGATCCAAAATTTGTCATGTTTTTGGAACAAGTACAAGCCAACAACTTGACGCACTCTCAGCAGTGCAAGGTCTTTAGGCTTTAGAAGCAACCACTGAGTTCCCCACGTCATTTGCATACGAGATCATCAAATACTTCAAGCTGCAGTTTCAGTAGCGATTTTTTACTTGGATTCAAAGGCAGATAAAAGTGAGACTATTCCAGAACCAATTTGAAGCAAATGTGGCCAGTTGCAAAGGTGAACTGTAGCTGGAGGTCATTAGAGACACGTTCAAAGAAGGGCGGGTGGGTTTTTATAAGTTTTTGCAAAAGGAAGATTTTCGTAATATTAAAAGTTTTGCAGCAAAGTACCTTTCAAATTTTGGAACAAGATACCTGTGTGAACAAATATTTTCAAGATTGAAATACGTGAAGAACAATTTGAGAGCAAACTTAGACCTCAAGTGTGATTTTGGCCACCAACAGTGTTTCTTTCAGACTTTTTTCTCCGGGGGGGGGGGGGGAACACTTGAAATTTGTATATATTTCTATATAAATTATATTTCGTTATGGGGGGGGGGGACGGTTCACGTTCTTCGGGGGGGGGGGGGCGCGCTGCCACCCCGAAGGATGTCTTGAAGAAGCTCTAGCCTCCCCAAACTGATATTTGATAGTTAATGCGGCCCTCGGGCTGAAAAGTTTGGAGACCCCTGGATAAACAATACTCAATTTCTAAAGGAAACTATCCAAAAGTTATTAAATGGAATTTTCCAAAAACTATTGCTTTAAAACATGTTATTTTCTTTTAATCGGTATGCTGTTTTAAACTATTATTAAACTCAAACCATTTTTAATCAGAAAACATATTGGAAGGCATTAAACATTGCACATCAAAGCACCGTATGTGTAACAAAACATGCTTATAAAACCAACACAAATGTGAACGTTATATATGTAAACATATGTAGCCCTATGTATGTTTAAAATAAGTATAAAGATGGATAGATAAATATGGATATGTACACATACAGATCTATAGAATATATACATTGTGATGTTATTCATCTCCAGTGTAATTTATTCCGTCAATAAAAGTACGGGATTTAGTGAGATCAGCAGGCATGAAAGTCATGTAACAGCTGTAGCCAATCAAAAGCTGTGAGAACACATACACTATTCATAACCACTGGCTACACTATATGTTCTATATGTCACTGTGTGTCATCATACACCAGTGCAACCAATCATGGGGCAGTTGATTGGTGTTGTCTCGAATACAAACACAATCGAAAACAAACACAATCGAAAACAAACACAATCGAAAACAAACACAATCGAAAACAAACACAATCGAATACTAACACAGTCGAAAACAAACAATCGAATACTAACACAGTCGAAAACAAACAATCGAAAACAAACACAATCGAAAACAAACACAATCGAATACTAACACAGTCGAAAACAAACACAATCGAAAACAAACACAATCGAAAACAAACACAATCGAATACTAACACAGTCGAAAACAAACAATCGAATACTAACACAGTCGAAAACAAACAATCGAAAACAAACACAATCGAAAACAAACACAATCGAATACTAACACAGTGGAAAACAAACACAATCGAAAACAAACACAATCGAAAACAAACACAATCGAATACTAACACAGTCGAAAACAAACAATCGAATACTAACACAGTCGAAAACAAACAATCGAAAACAAACACAATCGAAAACAAACACAATCGAATACTAACACAGTCGAAAACAAACACAATCGAAAACAAACACAATCGAAAACAAACACAATCGAATACTAACACAGTCGAAAACAAACAATCGAATACTAACACAGTCGAAAACAAACAATCGAAAACAAACACAATCGAAAACAAACACAATCGAATACTAACACAGTCGAAAACAAACACAATCGAAAACAAACACAATCGAAAACAAACACAATCGAATACTAACACAGTCGAAGTCAAACACAATCGAAAACAAACACAATCGAAAACAAACACAATCGAATACTAACACAGTCGAAAACAAACACAATCAAAAACAAACACAATCGAAAACAAACACAATCGAATACTAACACAGTCGAAAACAAACACAATCGAAAACAAACACAATCGAAAACAAACACAATCGAATACTAACACAGTCGAAAACAAACACAATCGAAAACAAACACAATCGAAAACAAACACAATCGAATACTAACACAGTCGAAAACAAACACAATCGAAAACAAACACAATCGAAAACAAACACAATCGAATACTAACACAGTCGAAAACAAACACAATCGAAAACAAACACAATTGAAAACAAACACAATCGAATACTAACACAGTCGAAAACAAACACAATCGAAAACAAACACAATCGAAAAAAACACAATCGAAAACAAACACAATCGAAAACAAACACAATCGAAAACAAGCACGATCCGAAGTAAATACAAAGCTTAAGCAAAAAGTCATATAGTAACAAAATCTTAAACAAACAACCCAAAAAATGTTTTACAACCAATCAACTAACGAGCAATCTGTTGTTTTCGTTGGGTTTCTGTTTTTGCTAATTGGCTTTTGTTTTCTTTCTTTCGTCTCTTTAATTAGAATGCAAATGAATAGTTTTTTTTCATCTTAATCGCGTGCAGTATATTACGTTTTTGTATGGGGCAGAAGTCGGGCATATGCTTAGACCGTGAAATGCCCA